GTCACTTATTTAAGGGTGACTATAGACGCGGTATGGGTTGGATGCTAGGTTTATTGATCTCCACACTTATAGCAACAATTTCTCTGCCGTTTTATTGCAGGTTACCTAGCAATAGCCCGGATATTGTTGATGTTTCTATTCGTTTCCGCCGGAAGGTGATTACGGAGCCGTTACTAAGCAACGGCTGACGTCCACAGAGTCACGCTTAGCGATGTGTCTGTGCGCAACAATATTTATTTCAAAGTAATCATCTATTATCAGATCCTTAAACGTTTACCATAATCTAAATCAAATCCTACAGCTTAGGAAATTCATTCTTTCATCAGTAATCTGTCATACGACAGGTCCACAGTCTCTTCCAAAACAGTTTCTCCACTTGATGCGATCTAGAGCTTTCTCCTTCAAATGAATATATCCTCTTCTGTCCCCAAGGTCATCCAGCATCTTCTTACGTCTTCTGGATCTCGCATACATGGTATCTCTGTTTTTGGAAAGAGATTATCCAGGAAAAGTGATAATGTGGTAGTTTTTCCATTTGCTTTCCACATCGCAGTACAACAGCCGTTCAAACCGCTCTGGTCACGCCTGTTGCTATACGAACTTGAACCATCTCGAGTATCATTTGCTCTGTGCTTCAAGTCGCTGCTGATGACGCTGCTTCCGGCATCAGTTTTTGGTTTTTTGGTGTGTCTCTTCGTCTGATGCCTACCTTTTGACCTGTCCAGCAAGGGAGGCCCTGCCAGTAGCTACGCTACCGCTGGTATAGCTCTCAGAGTCCTTGGCGTACTCAAACCCCCTCACCACGATAAGGTGGAGACACCAACGAGGGGGGCTTAGGAAATATAAGCATAAAATAATAACTTATACGAGTTTGACTTCTTGTATTTCATTATCTCATATATCTCAAGGACATGAGGTTTGTAGTTTTTACAGTGAAGATTATCAAAATTAGTTTTCTAGTGTTTGATGCAGTGTAATTTGGTACATACCTATCAAACACATACAAGGCCGTTTTCTTGGTCGCAAAACATATGGAACAAGTGTAATTGGCCTGAAATATTTGTTTCATTTCTTTCTGTAACTTCCCATGAAGAAATTTGTCGCCCCGATAAACATTTAGCGTGTAAGCGCTAGGATTACGATTGGGATATTCACAGAAACACGTGTAATGCGTCCGTTATTGTTGCATACAAATTTTTAGAAGATCTTCCCAATACCAAATTTCATCAAAATCCGTTAAACTGTAGTTATTATTATTA